GCACACCCTGGAAGCTTGTTCTATGAGACATTTAAGCTGGAAGGTCGCTCTTTCTTTGGGATGAAGGGAGGAAATCCTAGTACTAGTTAGCTTTTTGTCGGGCTGCAGGGAGCAGCTCGTAGGATGGTTGAATCATGGGACTCTTCTGCTTGTCCTCCCAGCAGCTCTTCACCTTTTTGGAACTCAGATCTGACTCTAGGACCACGGTTCTACACCCAGTGATGGGGCACAGGCTGACCTCATATTCCCTTGATTCTCTTTTTAGCCCTTCTATCCTCAGATGTGTGAAAGTTTTGGGGGTACGGATGGAGAAATAGGTTAAAAAGTCTTTTTTCTTAACTCATTGTTCTCTAAGAGCTCCATTGGCTGGTGATAGTTGGTGCATGGCTGGCATTTACTTCTGGCTTCTTGTAGGTCATAAAATATGTCTAAACATTACCTCTTCTCAACATCCACCCTGCCTCACAGTGTAGCCACATCAGCCCCTTGTCCAACAGCAGCCCTCTTGTGTCTAGATCTGGCAAGACAGCCCAGGAAGCCTACAGCTCCTCAGAGTACAGATCTCCTCACACTGTCTACTTTCTTTGTCCCTGAACTTTTCTCTCCAACTTTTTTTCCTTCTCCAAATATATACAGAAAGCAGTTGAGAACACCCGTGACACAAGCAGTCATCCCACTGGGAAATGAGGTGCCACTCCGCGAATAAGGCAGCCTGCTGCATCCTAATCCCTGGCATTGTGTGTTTCAGACCTCACGCTACTTTTGGGAAAAGGAAGTATCCTTCCCTGCTCTCACAGAGATGGAAAAAGAAGCCCATAACCTCGATTTTCTGCTGTCTTTTGCCTGAGGTGCAGGCAGCTCAAGTTTTGGTTCATTTCTTTGATATGTTTCTTTTTGCTGCACTGCGTGCCTTCGGTTCTGTTTTGTCTTGCAGGGCTCAGAGTTCTGCCAGGGACTTCAGCAAGTTTTACACACAGACCTGGGACTTTCCTTACTCCAAACACTTTTCAGGAAGCTCCTTCATTTGCCAGCAGCTGGAGCTGCCCCAGGCTCTGTCTCTTTTAAGTCAGAAAAATGCTAATTCTGTTGGAACCTAGGCACCTTCTCCACACTACACCACGTTTGCAGACCACCCTCAGGCTAAAGCAGTAATGAAAGGAAACCCACCCTGTCCTGTCCCTTTTGTCTCCCCTCCAAAAGTCACTGCCTTTGTTTACTTGCCAGAGATGTCTCATGGTTTATTTTTCTATTTTTGTTCAGAGTTACAGTTTTCCAAGAGAAGAACGGTCTTCTGCCCTCTAACTCTGTCTTACCAAACGCAGAACCACCCTTACCCATTTTAGATTCTTTTTTTCCCACCTACCATGTTACAAAGTGTGGCTCAGCCAATTAGATGAATGAAGGGACTATTGGGATGACATTGGTTTTCTTCCCTTTCCTTCACATCTCAAATCACTGTTATCACACTCTCACTTGCAGGTGTATAATCTCCCTATTGTGGCTCAGACTTTCTATTACCTGAAACACTCCAACACCCAGGGCATCTGGCAGAACTTAGTAAAGAGTGTAAAAGATAAAAAATTTTCTGCCATTTAAGAGCTTGTGATGTATGGTGACTCTTTGTGTACCCCAAAGAAGGCATAGAGCATACTTGGCAGATGGATCCCATACATATTTTTGCCCTGAAGATAGAGACAGGAATAGACTGGAGAGTTGAGTCTTGGGCCTCTGGGATGCATGATATGATTATGAGGGATTAGCAAATATAAAAAGGAAAGCATGGCAGGTTTTGGTGAACTCTTCTAATAACAATACATTTCCTCTGTAATCTTTTTTATTCTTCATTCACTAATACCAGAAAACTACCACCGGACTCCAAATGGTATCTTTTCATGAAGATCTGCTTTTGAAAATCCTGATCATTACATAACCCCTCTTTGCTGGAGTTTTTGGTTATTTTCTTTATGACACATGTCCTCAGAGCATGTTGCAGTGAGTATTTGGTTAATAGGAAAATCTCATTTATCCGAAGTTATTAATGTCAGAGAAAGGTCAGAGAGTGGTTATGCCAATTTTTTTTCACTATTTATCAAAGAAATCAGCCAGTAGGATTAGAAATGTGAGAATTTAGACATTGTATATTTTCTCCTTACTTGTTTAAGCAAAACTTGAAAAAAACCATTTAATTGCTGCCATCATATACATATCATTTTTCTTTCCTAGATAATAATGGCAATTCATATCACTTAAAGGAAATTCTAAAATCACTGAATAAAAATGATCTGTAACTTAAAATTTATTGATTATTGATTACTACTACCATTTTAATATATATGAACTTTTTCTATTAAAATGTTTTAACAATATAAATGTTATTTTACTTGACTTTTTAAGTGCCAAATCATAGACCTGTCTTAGAGCTGTATGTAGTCTTCAAACACATGAGTTTTCAAATCATTTCTGTTTTCTATCTAATTGATATACCAGGAGGGGTATAAACATATATCAGGTAGATTCCCCAACCTGTGTCTAGACTGAATAATAATAAAATGAAGAAAAGGCATTCATAGATTTGGTCAGTTTAAGTTCATCTTGGGCTAAGAGAATTTCTAATTTATTCCTAATTGAGTAATTATAGCTATTCAAAGAAATGTCATAGTTATTATCCAGGGATAATATTTACTGAACACAATCAAGATTTTAATGGCAAACAGGCTACATTGTTTTAATCATAAAGCTCAAAATTAGAGGTAGATATTCCAAGTGTCCAAATTTTTGAAAGATTAGTCCTGCTGAACTGCATAATTTGACCAGGGAACACAGGTTACAAAGGCTCATATTTGGACTCATTTTTTTTTTTTGGTACTGGGGATAGAACTCATGACCCTGCACTTGCAAGGCAGGCCAGGTGCCACTGAGCTAAATCCCCAGCCCATGAACTAGTTTGTTTTTATAAGAAAGAGATTTACAATACTAGGAAAACGTATTCTGGAATTGTGCTCTAACTGGCAACATGTCTAAGCCCCAGGTGTCTCATGTGGGGATACTTATTAATAGTTAATAAATAAGGTAGTAATGTAATGATATATGCAGTTGCTCTGTTCCAGAATAAACCCCAAGGTGAAAGCAGGGCTCTACTACAAATAGTTTCATCACTTGCATTCCCACTTCACAAGCCACCTCAGAAAAGACAATGATCATAACAACTAGTATTTAATAAGCTCTTCCTCCATGCCAGAAAATGTACTTAGTGATTTAGATATACCAGTGAGTAAGTAAGTACTCTAAACTGCCCTTTGAGATAGGCATTTTAATTAGCACCACTTTAGAGCTGAGAAAACTGCCACACCGAGAGGTTAAGAAAAGTGTTCAAGGTCTCCCAGCTGAAGTGGAAGAGCAAGGATTTGAATCCAGGCTGCCCAACTCCAGAGGCCACACTCTTAACCTGAGCTAATCATTACACTATGCCTAGCATGCTAATCAGTATTGTGGTTAGCCTAATTTTGAGGAATCCATTAATTAACTTTTCTTAGATAAACATCCTACCATTTATAAAGCATTGTATAGCTTTCAAAGTACCTTTTCAGTCATCGCTTCATTTGGTTCACACAAATACTTCCCATGTCAAAAACAAGAAGACTATGGACCTCAGAGGAGTAAAGTAATTTATCATTCCTTGCACTACTACTAAGAACAAACTCAAAAAGAAAGCCAGTTATTGCTGACAGGTCTTCTAACTTCTACTTCACTAGCCCAGCCGGTCACAGAGCCATCAGATGGAGGCATGCCGGCGTAGTCAGGCTACTGACTTTGTTAGGATTTTTATTTACATGTGTAGATTATCCTGCAAGAGAGCCAAGGCAGGAATTTTCTAGGCCTTGGGGAACATCCAATTCTATAAAAATTAAGGCATGAATGTTTCTGCCTATAATACCAGCCCTCCGGGAGCCTGAGGCAAGATCACAAGTTCAAGTCCAGCATGGGCAACTTAGTGAATTAGCAAGACCCTGTCTTAAATAAAAAGGGTTTAGGATGGAGCTCAGTGCAAAGGCTCTGGGTTCAATTCTCAGTACCAAGAAAAAAGGAAAGAGGGAAAGAAGGAGGGAAGAAAGGAAGGAAAGAGAAAGAGGAAAGGAGAGAAAAACGACAGGCACCTCTGGATACTTATACTATAGGTAAAATTAGTCCTTCCTATTGATTTTGCTTCCTTAGAACAAATGCTACACATGACAATATTTTTAGAAAAGGAGCATCTTTAAAACTAAGATGAGATTCATTCTATTGATAGACTTTCAGAGACCTTAAACAAGCCAGGGTTGGTTTCTCTCTGAGTTAACTCTCTGGATCGTTTTGATGGCAGAGGTTGGAAATTACAAGAAGTAAGGACAGACAATGAAGTGCATTGCTACTTGCTGTGAAGGCATTGGCTATAAATGGCAGCTGTTTCTCTGAAAAGGGGATAGCTTTCTTAGAAGGGAACACATGGCCCCTTTGCATCTTTCCCTTGGGCAAGTGAAAACTGCTGGCAAAATTCCTTCTCTGAGGACCTCAGAGACTGCAAATGACAGGGGAAAATAAAGTGCTGTTCAGTCAGGTAGTCCACTTTCATAAGTAACACTCCATGGGATCTAGTCATGAAAAAGACAAGAAAAGGGGGTAAATCCCACAGTAAATAAAACAATCTCCACCTATGTACTGTTGAGACTGGGTCTCTAGAAATGTCATTAAAAATGTTGCAAATGATGTCGATGGGCTTACAGGATCATCTGTACCTCTGAATAAAAATCCCTCAAATCTCTATTTTGTCAATGTGCCCTCTTGGCATTGGATTTCTTCCTTTTTGGATTTAAGAGGAGATCGGCACACATATTGAGTCACTGTATGTAAATTTGTTCCAAGTCTATAGACAGAGAAGACGAGGCGTGGAATAAAGTTTTTGTTATTAAAGTATTTGTCATACTGAAGGAGAATGTGTTTATTTTTTATTATTGCTAATAAGTTGTGCCTCCTGGCTGCCTCAGGAAATAAGTCACATACAGGGGAAATGAGTAAACTGGAAGAATTAAAAAAGGGATAGAAACCCCTTGCCCTTGAGTCTTCATGAAGGATCAGTTTGCCAGTTGAGTCTGCAGAAGTTTCCATGCACTTTATTGCTGTTTCTCCACCTAGCTCCACTTTTTTCCTTACTCCGTGCGTGAGGCGGGCAGGATTTCATACATCATGTTCAGCAGCAATGGAGATTCTGCAAAGACAGATGTCTTTAGAAAGTTAATGAATGAGAAACGTGCTGGTGGGGTGCTTTCCGTGGGGGAAGGTAGTGGAGTTATTGAAGGTTTAACTGCAGAGTCTAAGGCTGGCTACACTGAGCCGCTTCACTCGCAGTTGCCACCACTGATTTCCTTTTCATTGCATGGCACTGACAGGTTATGATAGCAGAGCCATTTATCTTAAGTTAATAAATCAGAAGGAGGTTTAAAAACTGTCTGGCTGTGATGCTTCATGCAGCAATTTTGGGAAGTCAAAGGACACAGGAGGTTTTGCTTGATCCTGCTTAGAGGTAGAGGAAAATTATTTATCTTCAAGTTGTTAATTAAGAAAGAAAAGGGACATCCTTTGTTTGATTATTCTATTGCATCCAGGGACCCTTAACAAGAATGAGTTGCCTGCCCTGCTATTGCTGCAGCAATTCACTCCTCTAGCTCCACGGTGTCTAACACTTTTCACCCTTTCTTGTGTTTTCTACTATGGTCATAACCTCCTCCAATACAAAGTACTTTGTGTTAGCTGTCTGCCACCAAGAATAGCTAGAACGCTGGCCAATAGAGCAAAGAAGAAAAATTCCATGAAAGAGGTTGAACCAGAGATTCTTTCATTTTTCAAAATATAAAAAACTCTTGTTATCATTATTACTACTTTTGGAGGTAATAAGGTTGCCCTTTCCATTTTATTGAACTGATACAAAGAGAAACACTTGATACAGGGAGTACATTCTTCACCCCCAAGTTTTGATGCTTCCAGGAAGAATTCTGCGCCTGCAAATCACACCTTCTACTTCCTTCACTGTAGCTCATCCCACAATTATTTTTAACTAAACACACACAGAGAATGCACACACTCTTCCAGGAAAAGAAGTGATAAGACTGAAGGAACTGTAGCAAGTTTCTTTGCAATCTTGTGATACAGTGTCTCCTGGCAGATCATGGGAGAAAAACTGACTATGGGCTGGACTAGGGGGGAAATGAAATATAATGCCTAAGCTGCTGAGAAATATTCCTAAAACTGGCTTCCTTCAGTAAGATAGGCGATTACAGCTGGGCTGTCTACCAGTTCTATTTTCGCAATTAACTTCATTATTATGTGAGTAATACTGTACTTGAAGAAATAAAGGGAGTTTTGCCCTGCCTCAGTCTCTCGGAGAAATATGGTCAGGCTTGATAGGCTCTGTGCTTTAGAGTGTTAGACAATAGGGCAGGGCAGCCAGACTAAATGCAATATGTTTTGGAGCTTCTATTTATATTGTCTTTTCCTTTTATGGGAAATGTGTATCCGTCAGAGCTCTGGGTTTGCTTATGACAGAGCTTGGCTTTAAAGTTTCCTGAGGCGATGGCGATCAAACTGGAGAAAACATCTATTTTGACTGAGCTCAATGTAGATGTGGAGGAGTCTCAAAAACCTGAAAATTATTTATGATGTTATTATCACAGTATGATGAAATGTTGGAAGTATTACTTAAGCAACAGTTGAACGAGGTGAGTTGATTTTAAATACTTCTGACTTCTCCTCTTGCCTCTTTTCTGTGCCCTGATGCTTTCTCCTCTTATTTCTCCTCCTCTACCTCCTTCTCTTCCCCTTCTTGTGTCCTATTTACTGTTAAATTCTAACTTCTATGATAAAATAGTACAAAAGGTCACCGGGAACCATATTTTCAAGTGGCTATCACCAAGGTAAGAGAAAGGATTGCATTGATAAACAATCTTTACAATTCCTCTTGCATTTAACATAATATTCATTTTGAAAGCTTTCAAAAGAAAAGACAATGACTTCAGGGCTGACAGTGTGTGTCACTTTCTCACCTGGGATCTTACACATTCTTGATCTTGTCTGTGGGGAATGAGGGGCTGGAGGTTAGATGGCTCCCTCACATTCATAGACATGGAACCAAGTTTCAAACTCAGATTTGTCTAATTCCAAAGTTGTTCTTTGTTCTAAAAGATGCATTCCTCCAATAGTTTATACATACTTTTCTTACTGGTATCTAAGAAATCTCGGTGATGGTAACAAAGAGTCATGAGGGCCTTTTTGCAGATGGAGAGTTCCAGCACAGAGATTCTTACCAAAAGGATACTAGGGCTCTTCCCTAATGACAGAACAATTTGCAAAATCTCTGGGTCTTCTCTGAAGCCAGCCCCTTGTCAGTGTTTACCTTCCCTCCTTCTTGCTAGGATTATGCCTCTGCATCCTTCAGGAGCCAAGTGGCTGCTCCTCTTAGAAAAAAAATAATTGACCTTTATAAATGGAATGCAGTGCCCCTAAATGGTGCTCTTTTGAGACACTGTGTAGTACTATGACCCAACAGTGTGATTGTTAGCTTTTGCATCCAAGCTCTCTGCTTTTACACTGTGAGTTAGCACCTTCAGAACAAGGGATGTGTTGTGCTTATCTCCTGATTTTAAGCCACAGAACACATACTCTGGGAGTTGCTCCCCAATATGTAATGATAGCTGACATTTACTGATCTTTTACTGCATTCCAAACATTATTTTGTGTACTTCTCATGATCTAAATTTTTAATCCTTGTGTTACACATCAGGGCTTTTATTAAGCCCAATGTACAGGTCAGACCTTTCTGAAGTACAGAAAATAAACTGCTCAAGTTCACATAATGGAGGAGGGTGGAGTTGGGATTTGAACTCAGCAGTCTGACACTGCGGCTCATGCTCCTCCTAATCACTACTGAACTGGACGATGAGGCCTTTCATATGGATTCAAAAAAGTTTATTAATGAATAAAAGAAAGTTAACAAAACAAACCCATTTTTAAAATGTGCCCTAAAGAAGCCAAATGATGACAGTGGGAATCCAAGGACCTTCATTTCATCTCTAAATCATATTTAGTAAACGTTTACTGCATAGAATTTCAGAGCATAGATGAGAAACCTTTCTCCCTCATGTCTCTGCAGCAAATTGTGAAGGAAAACATACCAAGGGGCCTTCAGGTGGCACACACCACTCTTTGTTCTCTTTTCCTTATGCTTAGCAAGCTTTTAGTTTTACACTATAACTGGTATAGATATTCGTGAAAGACAAGGCTGGCAGAATTAATCTGACTTCACCTTGATCCTAAAAGAGGCTCACTTAATTCATCTACTTGGAATTCATTGGCTCCTCTTATGTCTGGGGATTCTGAAGTCTCATCCTCCATGTCTCAGTTGTCAGAGTACCAGTTCCTCACAGGCTCAGATGTCTTTGCTGTATGATTCACTTTGTTCATCACAGGCATCAACAATGGGATTAAAAGAAGAAGCGAGAAGAAAGCTGGTGTAGTTTCTTGAAGCTACCAACTTGAATTCTCCATCTCTGTGTATACAGCATGGCAATATTCTAGATACCACAAGATGCAAACACAAGTTAAGATTGCAATTTCTTTGCCCTTGGGAAGCTTATAATTTAATGAGGAAAGAGATAGTTGGTCAACATGCAGTAATTAGGTATATTATCAGGATGTTACATACTTGCTCAGAAAGGATATAAACAAAAACTTTTCCCAGAGGAGGAAGGCATGTATAGCTTCAATATAACGAAAGATACACTAGTTGGAATAAGAATTAGAGCAATCATATATTAAATACTGTTATTAATATTTACATAATACATACAGAGATGGATGTCTGTAGGAATCTTTTACTATTTCAATGTTAGAACTAGCTTAACCCCTTATTTTTTACATGTTGAGAAACTAGAAACTATAGCAGGAGCATTTCTTGAGCTCTTACCATGTAACTTGGCATTTGATCCATAGCCCAACCACTCAATACATTCCAGTTGAATATATTAATGCATCAATGTATGCATTCATTCATTCTATAAATCATGAGCTCCAACTTTAAACCAAGCCCTGTTCTAGACTTTAAGGATAAAACAGCAAATGTGTCTCTTACAAGATGTACAGTTAAGTAAAAGAGACAAAAAAAAAATCCATTTAGCAAATGAAAAAAATAATTTTAAATTATAAAACATACTATGAAGGAAACAAGTAAAGAGTCAAGATAGAGAATTACATAAATTAATGGAACAAAGAGATATCTTGCTGCATTAGATTTTTTAAGGGAAATGTAACTTCACACTTCAAGTATACTAAACATACCTTTTGGTCCAAGGGAGAATAGCTGGTTATTAAAAACAATAGTCAACTAAAAGTGAGTGTTACCATATGGAGAGAACCTGGGAAAGAAAAGAATTAACTTGTAATTATTAAAAAATTAAATATAATTTTATTATGAAATAATAAAATATTATGAAAATTCTGATAAGTCAAATTTTAAAAGTTCTACATTACCGTGCAAGAACATTTATTTTTTAAGATTGTCAGGTTCTGGATTGTACTCACCACCAGTGCAATGTACATTTGTGACACTGAAATATGTTTGCTTTCAAGAGACACGTTTGCTAATATCAATAACCTTTTTCATCCAACAGAAATGCAGATTTATATTTTCCAGAAATTTTGTGCTACAGATTTTAGCTATTTGTCGACGATTGAAAATGGTTACCAGTCTAAGAGTGATCCCCATACTTCAGCACACTCACGGTATCACTGAAAGGCCCAACACCCACCTAAGGTGTTTTTATCAGCGTCCTAGAACATTCAATATGACAACATTCAAATACCATATTTAACCACAATCTACACTAAAAATTACATTAAAAATTACTTGTTTGGGCTATTGTTGTGGTTGTTGTTATTTGGGTTGTTCTGAGGATTGAATCCAGGAGTGCTCTACCACTGAGCTACATGGGCAGCCTGTTTTGTTTTCTATTTTGAGACATGGTCTCACTAAGGTGCTAGGCTAGGCTATAGCATGTAATCCTCCTACTTCAGCCTCCCAGAGTCCTAGAATTACAGGTATGAGCCACTGGGCCGGCTGTTTTCTTAAAGTTGTCTCACAATGTCTATTGCTATGAAGTTTGATTAGTGAGAATAAAATATGTAGACTATTTTCTTATTTCCTTTATATCATTCTTATTATTATATTTGGATCAAGTATTCATTTTGAATACTGTTGAAATGACTTCTTTCTCATGAAAATTTTGAGTTGGCAAAGCTAAGTTTTCCTTTTAATTCAGCCTCAAAAATCATGAAAAATTCCAAATAGAAAATTTCCTTTATTGATTTCTTAACATAAATAGAATTAGGAAATTAAATAGTAAATAAAATACTTAGGTGAAATTTTATTTACTATTTTAAGTATTCCATGTCAGACAATTTTAAAAAGATTAAAATTGTGATTTATTTTAACCTCAAATATTTTTCCTTGTATTATTTTAATTTCACATGTTGGTTCAAAAAAGAATATATTCCTCCTAAATTTGTTTATCTAACATTTTATCAATTCTCTTTAAGAACTAGATCTATTTCTGTTTGATTTTTGAAAATGTGAAATGATAGCTTTATACTTTCAAAATCAATTGACAGCACTTTATTTTGTCAGTAATAAATATACATTTCAATTTCATTCTTAATATCTTAAACTTTAGATCAGAAAACTAAAAGCCCATATTTTACAAATCTCATTGGTGTATGTCATGGATATTATAGTAATATTAAGATTTTAGTGAAAATTTTTGCTGAGGGTATAAATTTGTTTAGTACAGGACATTGGATTTGCTTAGTTTTAGTTATTTAAGTCAATAGAGTGGCGTGAAAGGAACAAAAGATATTAACAAACTTAGAAACAGAATTATTTTAAGGTGACACAAATGGAGACCCTAAGGAAGAAGAACAAAGGTAGAAGGACAGATCTGAAATGAAAGATAGCACAGAGTACAGATGCCCTTTGTTGGGTCTGTACATTCCTCCCTAAGTGTCTTTTCAAAAGAAGCAAAAAGGCCAAACACACTAGGTAAAATTATGTTTGTTTCTGAGGCAGTAGGCTTTCAAGCTCTTAAAATTCACTTCTTGTTCCTTCCTGAAGAACTACGAGTTCCTGAAAAATCCTCTATTCTTAAGTATCAAACACTAAACCAGAAACAATTTGCTTGAAAACCTCAGCTATCAAAAAATTAATCTACTTGAGTGGTTAGTGATAATTTTTTTCCCTTTGGGGAAGATTTCCTCGTTCCTCAAGCACACAAATAGTTTCTAGTTAACAGTCAAGAGAGGGTTAACCAATAATTATACCAACCCACGCTGACCTGCAATTTGGCCATCTTCTCTGCACTGATTTCCTGCCTCCTCCAATTATCCAGCCTCCTGCACTACACCTGGTAGCCAAGGTCCTGTCTCCGTAGTGCAGGACGCTGGTATGACTGCCCTAAAATACACCTGTTGCCGGCAGATTCCTGCAGGGTAATTTCCACTGCCAGAGAAATTGCTCTAAATTGCATTGACTTTCAATGGGTTCCCACTGGTAAACACCTGGAGCCAGTCGCCTGCAGATGACTGCCCAGAGACCCAGGTGTGTTTCTGGAGGCTGCCGTGCCCTGTTCATTCTGATGGGATGTCTTGGTGCTCAGGGTGCAAAACAACTACCCCAGGTTAATGAATTGCAAAGACATTAACATTCAAAAAGGCTCACAAAGAAAATAAAGCCTTCCAGGCAACAGCCTCTGTCAGCCAGGGGAAAAAAACTTGCTCCAGTGAGGAGCAGAAAGCATGAGGTTTCCTTCTAACAACCATCCCTGAGCTTCTCAGCAGTCCCTCCCCTTGATGGGAGCAAAGTTTTTCAGTCCATATGGCAACTGTCTTTTTTGAATATTACTTGCTAATGAGTTGAGTCTCTACTTGTACACACTTCAAGTTATTTTCTTTTCTCTTTTTCCCCTTCTTGCATAGTATCTGAATCATCTGATTTTATGAACATAGTCTAAGAAATTTTTCATGAATGATAGAATCCCTAAACATATCTGAGCACTACCAAGCTTTTTTAAAAGATGAATTTTCTTTTATTACTTAATGAAAATACACAATTCTTGCATTTCCATTTATAATTTTCTCTCCATGTTGGCTACAGAGAAATTAGCCTAGAAATAAGGTAACAGGCATTAAAATAAAAGTCCTTTTAAATGGAGTGCTTATATATGGACTGGGGTGAATATTTCCTGTTTGTTGATATCATAGTATTTGAACCTTAGCTCAAATTGGATGTCAGACAACAAGGGTGAAAACTTGGCTATCATTAATAACAATACTAATGATACGAGCTAACATTCCTTGATGATTTTCTATGTGACTTGCATTATTTAATACTTGTGTGGATAATTCCATTTAGAAATGAAGCTATATTCCCAGGACTGGTGCAAATTTGATGGGAAGTGAAAGGATAAAGGACTTTTGAACCACAAGACTGACAAGCCACCCTGATTCTTACCTTTTACAAATGATCTAGGGGAGAACTGAACACCTGATCTCTGTTAACAGCACAGGTTGATCCATAAATTTTGATTCCCTGTTAGCCCTTGGGGTTTGGTGTGACTCTAGAAATTCACAGTCCTACACTTTGGCTGCGTTGTAGTAGGAAGACCCAAGGAGGTGGTGAGTAGAGATGAATCCAGGGAAAAAATAAGAACCAAGATAGATTACATAAAGGTGCAAATCCCCAATGATGAATGTCATTATATTGTGTACCTAAAATGTACCAATAAAATTAATAAAAAATATAGTACTACAAATGGGACTGTGTCTCTGGTTGTGGCAGAGAGCAGTGTAGCTACAGGATAAAGGAAGAAACCCAAATCTACCACCCCAAACCAGGACTGGCCATTAGCAAAGCATCTTGTCTGTCAGTCAGTGCCCTACTTTCTAGTCTTTTATAGCTCTTCAAGTTTTCACTTTATGAAACTTTAACTTGACTTACTCTCTTTTTGTCTTTCTCTCTATTTTTATCTCTGTCTCCTTGAAAGCCAGTAGAAATGTAGAAAGATTAAGCAATATATCTTAGTTACTTTTCTCCTTGCTGAGACAAAACACCCAACACCCAAAGTTAAAGAAGGAAAGGTTTATTGTAGCTCATGGTTTGTAGTGGTTTTAGTCCATAATCGGCTAGTTCCAAGGCAGGGTGGCACGGCAGAGAAGCATTGCAGAGTGGGCAGGAACCGGTAGAAGACAAGTAGCAGCAACAGAAGCAGCAGCAAGCAATGGTAGCAGCCCTCTTTCTGTCCCTTATATTCCATCTGGCTACCTGCCCGTAGGGTGGGAAGCACTCATACCCAAGGTGGAGCACTCTTAATGCCAGCATCACACAATCCCAGCACCACACATCCTACATCCAGCCACTTCCAAAAAACCCCACCTATGATTCCATGAGGCTTTGGGGAGACACCTAGATACAAGACATAAAACACAATAAGTAAAATAAAGATCATAATTATGCAAACACAGTTTGAGAAAGATTTAAAATTTTAAAAAGGGAGCAAAATCATTAGTTGTGCTGATATTAGTTATGGCAGGGTGTACTAATTGATTTTATTAGTAGTCATTTTCCCATGGAGACAATGTCATACCAAATCACTGGGGCATACTTGGCAGATTAAGCAGGGAGAAAAGCAAATTGAAAACTTTGGAGGACCTAGCTACAGACTTACAGATTTTCTTTAGGTGTGTTATCTATCCTAAGTCTGCAGAGCAATTTGACAACATTAAGCCAGGTAGCAGACACTATATAAGTACCATAGCTAGTATCTTAGCCTATAACAAAATGCCATAGACTGGGTAGTTTATAAACATTAGAAATCTAGTATTCAAAAGTTCTGGAAGCTAAATCCAAGATCGAGGCACTAGAATTTTCAGTGTCTGATAAAGGCCCATTTCTTGGTTAATAGCACCTTTTTGTTGGTTCCTCCTATGATAGGAGTAAGCCAGCTCCTTTTTTATCTGGGCCTTGATCCCATCCATAAAGGCACAGCCTTTAAAAAATCCTCCCTCTTAAAACCATCACATTGATGATTGGGATTCAGTAGACACAGTTTTTTTGAGGGGAGTACAAATTCAGATCATATCATCTGGTACCTACAAAAAGAAAAGTTGAGGAAGTGTTGGTTAGATTCTCAACTATGATTCTTATAGTGTCAGGTAGCAACCTTTGGAAGAAATAATCAATCACGAGCATTAATAGCCCAGAACCCTCTCTATATTCATATCATACCTATTGTCATATGTCTGTTGTATATTGCTAGAGCCAAGTAATATGTACAAATACCCAGTAACCTCTGTTACAGAGGGAAAAAAATCATCACTTACTCACTAGTTTAGCCCCTCAAATAGTACAGATACATTCGGTTAGTATCTATAATGCCTAGTCTCTGTACTAGGCACTCTGAATAAAACAGTGGACAAGATAGACTTGACTTTAGGTAGTTTATTTATTTACATAGTTAGTTAGTTTTGTGCTTCTGGGGATTGAATTCAGAGCCTTTGCTCCAAGTTGCATCCATAGGTCCCCTTTTAAAATGTTTTTAAAATTTTGAGACCGGATTTCACCAAGTTGCTAAGTTTCCCAGGCTCGGCTCAAACTTGCAATCCACTGCCAAGGTGCTGGGATTGCCGGTGTCACGACAGATGAACTATTAAAGGGAAGGGTTTTCTCTGATGGTTTAGTGTATCAATATCATTGCTAAAAACTGAAGTTTTTATTCTTTCTGTAATTTGATTGAACTATGACATCAAAACACTTTTGCAAAATGGTGTTATTTTTTAAGCTTTCTTAAAAAGTAATCTGTTTCTACTGTCTGTTAAGAACTTAATAATAAAGAGATTAGAGGAAGTTAATTTAGACATGATGAATAATAGTGGCTGGGGACTTCTGGATTACTGTGAGTTAGGTAGGAACTCAGGCCACAGTAAACGGTGGTTGTTCATAGGAATGTTTACACAAAAGACCTAAACAGGTGGCCATAGAAGTTTGAGTGCACATTAAACTTGGAAATCTTGAATAACAATAGATTAGAATCATCATTAAACTAAATATAGGACTTAGGTTTGAACAGGCTAGGAAATGCTGTAGACTAAATTGCAGCAGGGATATAGTTACACTCTTAGGTTCTGCTGTTCTGGAATTGTCAACTAATCAACTATTTATTGACTGTATCTTTCAATTAAGACAAGACAATGATCTTGGTGTATATTGTAAGAATTTTACTGTAAGTGCTTTAGTTGTGAATGAGCATAGCATGAGTTAGGTTAAAATAATAAACTGCTGACACCACAGACCTAACAAAAAAGTGGCCGAGGAACTGTTTATTCTCTCTCCTCTGACAGGATGAGGTGAGTGCTGCATGGCAGAGAATGTCTCTGTTCCTTGCACTCATTATTGACCTCAGTTGACTGTCTTTCACATACCGATCCACGGTTTTAATCTTTGCTGTCTTTATCTCCATTCCAGCTAGCTGAAAGGGGCAAAGAGTTGAAGTCTCTAGCCAGAGAGAGAACTGAGGTAAAAATGCTTTGCACTGAATGCACTCACTTGCCATTGGTAGAAGTTTAGTCCCATGGCCTCTCCTAGATGTCAGCAGGGCTGGGAAATTCAACCTGCTATTGGGCAGTAAAGTACTCAGTTACAGTGCCCTGGAAGACGAAGAGAAATAAATATGATAAACAGTCATGAGTATCCAAAGTTATAGAATTCAGCTCCTGCTGACTCTTAGGGTATAGGGAGTCAAACTTAAATATAATTTTATAAAAATTTCCAGCAAAAAAAATAGCAATTATAAATGGAAATACTAAATTATGCCCCAAAGTTTGGGGTGATCAAGGCTTCTGCTTTCTCTCTTTTACCAGCTCTCTTAAGATTAGTATAGAATGGGGTGGAGAGAAGAGATGAAACAGAAGACAGCCAGGAGAAACTGACCCATTTCACTATCCACTGCTTATCAGAGGTTATGTCGAAAGTCAAAGGAAAAACCTTGAGTCTATTACTTCCACTTCTAGGATTTGTTCCTATATTCTCAGACCCACTTCCCCAGAACTTCCTTTTGTTTTAAATTCTAATGCCAACAAAAAAATTATCATTTACTGATCTGCACATAACTAATGGTGAAGGACAAAACTAGGCCTATAGCAAAAACTAACAAATAATAAATTTGGAAATTACGATTATACTCCTCTTCTATACTGTCAATCCGATACTTAATGTTGTAATAAGTATACACAAGTTGAGAAAATGTGATCTAATTTCCCAAACATTTGTGTCATAGCAGGAATTCAAATTTGTGTTACACTTTTCTATGTTTTGTCTCTAACTGAAAGTACCTTTCTGCCAAGGCCATATTTGTTTCCAGAGATGTTAGATTTGGTTGGATTAGATCAAAGGTTCCTCTCCTATTGACAATTCACTGTTCTTCTGCAGCTTCGTGCTCCTGCTTACTCTTATCCCTACTCAGCAAAGCATTTCCTTTTGTATTTAATTTAGCTCTGGTTTAAATTGAAAGTAATATATTCTCTCAAGAAATTAGGATTATGTTGAATACTTAATAACCTCTGGGAGTTTAGAAAAGTATAAGAAATAAAGCAAGTGAAGGAAGTCAAAGCTGCATAAGTATCCACTGTGACCAAGTATGTCAGTTAAGGTCTCACAGCGATTATAATGTCATCTCTTTCCTGGTCTTGGTGGCTTCCCACTTAGTTTCCTGCTTTTGACATTTGACTCTTTGAACCTTCCTATTACTCAGTAGGCATGGCTGTAGTAATGACAGAGGTTGCCTTCTGCTACTTTTCTCTGTACTGTACATTTATAAATATTTAAAAATTTTTCAGATATGTGTTCTTTAGGATATAGTCTAAGTTCTGAAAGGACTTCTTGGTTATTCAAAAGCAATTGAAATGTCACTAATTCCCATGAGTCTTTGTGGGAGGGTAACAGGCTGAAACACAGAAGCAGAAGAGCCAGAAAAATAACTAGCAATGCAGATCTAGACAAAAACACAACCTTGGAAACAGCAGGTTTGTTCCACCTTGCAATGGTTTGTCTAGGTGTCCCTCAAAGGTCCATATAATAAAGACTTCTCCAGAGTAGCACTATGGGGAGGTGGTGAAACTTTTTGTTTGGTACTGGGGATTGAATTTGGGTCCTTGCACTTGCGAAGCAGGCAGCAGGACCACTGAGCTAAATCTCCAGCCTGGTGGTGAAACTTTTAACAAGTGGAGGCTATGGATTAATTTATCAATTATCATTCACTACATTTGAGACCTTGTCAAATCACTTACTGACTCCAAGCTTCAATTTCCTCAAGAAAAAAAAAAAAACTAATATAAATGAAAACTGCTTTACTGAGTTATTGGGAAGGTCAAGTGGAACAATGGCTTTATTGCACTCAGCCAATGTCTGGCATATGATAAACTCTTGGTAAATATCTTGTTTAGCATAGATGCTCAACAAATAGATATTTGTTGAAAATATAGTGAGATATTTAATTTATATTTCAAGTTTACCTTTAAAGAATCCAATTTTTAAAAAATATTTAGTATAAAATATTTTTAATATATGTGCTACTAAAAGGCATCCTAACAAATTTAAATACAGAAATTTCAGTTTATTCTTATCACAGGTAACAATTAAAAACATTCATAGAAAAATACAGAAATCAGAAATATAAAGAGATAGAAAGCAAAAAAGCTAGTGTTTAATTTCATGGAAATAAGCAAAGATCATTCTCAAAATATATCATTTTTTTAAAAGTTTAAATTATTAACAGTTTAATGAAATCAGAAATAATAACAATTTTTAACAACAAATCCATGCCAGATTTTAAAATTACTTAACAAAGTTAAACATTTAATAGATGCACTGGTCCACCAAATTACTTTTTATCTCATTATTAATAAAAAATTAATATTTTGTTGTAATTATTATTTATCTTCAGTACTATATCTAGCCAAATTGTTGCTATAACAAAATTCCAGAGGCTGGATAATTTATAAAGATAAGAGATTTATTTGGCTCACATTTCTGGAGCCTGGGAAGTTTAAGACTGAGGACTCACAAGCAGCTGTCTGCTTTTGTTCTACTTTCCTCCATACTCTGTAGCTACACACTTTCTGCCCACAACCCTGACCCAGTCCCTGCTCACATATATCCAACATCAGATATATACATGGTTCCCCTACATACAACATGAACCATTCACCCAGAAGAGAAATTCCAAGAACCTATTTTAAGACATCTTTTCCAAAAATGTAAGTACAACTGTCTTTCTCTTTTCTCAGAAAGAGAAATAATGAATCAGTGGGTTTGGGGGAGCAAACCTGAAATAGAATTATATATTCCTAATAACTTACTTCCTTACTTTCCATTTTTTTGCTGATGTAGTCCCTAAAATAATGCTAGAAATAAGTTAGAAAACTTCATCATATATTTTAAATATGTTCTTATTACTAGTGAGAATCCACCAAATTGGATTAAACATTTCATAATGCAGTCTATCTCATGAGTATATTGTTTATATGTGTTGTCACAATTTCTGGGGTTTCTTTTGCCATTGATTTCTAGCTTCATTGCACTAAGATCTAATAATATGAATGGAATAATTTAAATTCTTTTGTATTTATTTAAGGCTGCTTTTTGGAACAATGATAAGTCATATAAGAAATCCAGGAAGAAATTAAACAGTTCCTAGAATCAAAGTAATGCCAGAACAAAATATGAGAATCTATGGAACACAGTGAAAGCAGTCCTAGGAGAGAAGTTTATTGCTCTGAATGCCCACATCAGAAAAATATAGTAAGCCCAAATAAATAATGTAACAATGTCCTGCATGGTCCTGAAAAAACAAGAGCAACTCAAAACCAAAGCTAGCAGAAGGAAGGAAATTATAAAGATCAAAGCAGAAGTTAATGAAAGAGATTAAAAAATAAAAAGAATTAATGAATCCAAGAGCTGGTTCTTTAAAAAAATAAACAAAATAGACAAGCCTTTAGCCAATTTTACCAAAACAAAGAAAGAATAGTCCCAAAATAAATGCAATAAGAAATGAAAAAGGCAAAACCACAACAGACACCACTGAAATACAGTAGATTATTAGTAACTACTTTAAAAATAGATAATACAATAAATTGGAGGATCCAGAAGAAATGGATAGGTTCTCTAATATATATGAATTCCCAAAACTGGAACAAGATGGAAAAATCCTGAATAATACAGTAACAGGCAATGAAATTGAAGCAGTAATAAACAATCTATCATCAACTAAGAAAAGTTGAGCAACCAATAGATTCTGAATCTTACAAGAACTTCAGGGAAGATTAATACTTATACTCTACAAACTCTTCAATGAATCTGAAAGAGAAGGAACTCTACCAGGGACATTCTAGTAAGCTAGTATTACCTCGTATTATATTAAAATATGAACCACTATATCCTGATGACTTCATTCTTATTTACAATGCTCACTTTCAATGCTTTCATTGACTTGAGTAAATGTTTTAGGCAACCAAATGTTATCATAATTTCAAAGAACAAGCATTACAATATCAAATTAGTTTTAGAAGGTATTGTAAAGTAGTATTTAAATTTTATTATTTTTAAATACTTTAGGCACTAATTTTTTCACAGAAGAACAAAATACTTTTAAGAACATATTTTATTATTTGGTAATACAACATTTAAAAAACATTTTTTGCTGTGTTCAAACTTTTGTAGTTTGCCACAACAAAACAAAAGCTAAATCTGCAGTGAAGCGATGCAATTTAAAACTGATTCTATTACATGTTTCTGATTGTCAACTTTTTTTCCCAAAATTGGGACTACACTGAGGTAGCCCTGAAGCAATTACAACTGAGAATAATAATACTGTCCCTGAGAACCACATTTTAAAACCAACACATTCATAATATCTTGGAGCAAAGACTTACGGGGCATCTGAAGATGCAGAATGATTTTCACTATAAATTTACAGATTGGCACTTGGGGTAAAACTTCAGCATCTTCTTAAATGATGTTACCCTTTCCTAATTGCTTCTAGCTTCAGAACTATAAAACTGAATATTATATACTTAATTGTAAATTCAGCAAGATAATCAGTATGAGGGCCTCTTGGATTGTTACCCAGTGGCAACTTCTTTTACATTGTCACACTGAATTTGATATTCATAACTGAGGGAAAATACCTTTCACCAATCAGTGGGAAATACTCTAGGATCAGTCCACTAGCTGTTCACTTTATTTATATACCTTAAATGCCAGCATAGTACACAAAGGACCTTTTGACTCTTTCTACCCACAATTTACCCACATATACACTTCAGGTCTTTATTATCTCCTAGCCATTTTTCTAATAGTCCTTGGATATTTTCAACATACACATAAAGATTTGGCCAATTCTCAAGTATTTCAAATATGTAGAATATTGAAGTGTTTCATTGATTTCTTAGGAAGGAACTAAAAATTAATTGTTTGCTTATCTTGTGTTGCATATAAAAGGATAGGAGGGTAGAAACTAGGTTTAAAACCAAGGGTTTTTTTAGAAATAGGTACATCGCTTTCATCTCAGTTGGGGAGGAAAAAAGTAATTAGAATAGAATATGGACCAGTGTTAGGAAGCAAATATAAAGTTTATGGATATCCCACAGGA